TACATTTTTATTAATTCTGTTGACCTAATTTTACTGTGTCTAGTCAGGTCCTATTCCTATTCTGGGATAGATGAGATTCTCAGTTTTATAGATAAGTAATAGATAGGGGAAATAACAACTAGACAGAGAATAACCTGGAGTCTGTGGAAGGTTTCAGAGACATGAGAAGAAAACAATGAACACCAAAAGAAAAAGAATGGCATAATTTCAAAAAATATTTACTTAAAAAAATAAAAATTAATTTAAAATCTGTTTTGTACTCTCAAAAAAAAGGTTAAAGAAAACATGGACTCTATAAAACAATACACGAAGCACAAGATAATAAGGTACTAGACTGAACTGTAAAAAGAGCAGGCAGAGTTAGCAAACGATGCCACAGCAGAATTTAAGAATAAAGAGCAGAATTAGCAATACCTAAAACTAAATCAATTTTGTGAAGAACCAATATCAGAAATTTGCCCAAATGCCAAAAGAAAGGACAAAGAGATGAAAATTATCAAAGAAGAAATAATAAATATGGAGGAAAGACAATTAAAGTGCAACACAGATATCGATGCTCCTGAAGAAAAGTCAGGACAAGTGAACCATAAAGCCCTAAAGATACAATAGAAGGAAATTTTCTTGAGCTGATAAAAGACCTGAAATTGCAAATTGGAAGGGACTCATCATGCACCAGGGAAAAAAAATCTAGAAATTTTAATTTGCAAGTATAAAGACATAATTCTATAATTTAGAAATGTAATGACACAACCCCTGCAATGGTTTTTTGTATCACTGTTGAACATCTGTTTTCACATTCTTGTCTGCTTGTGAACACAGAGTAGGGTCATACCTCTCTCATTGGAGGTGAGGCTTCCTTGAAGATAGTAGATATTTCAAATGTCAACTGCTGAAAAGAGAAAGATTCTAAGATGAGAAAAGAGAATTTGGAAGGTGGACCTTAAACAGGAACAAGAGGGAATTCCTTTCTCTGAGCCTCATTCTCTTGAGGCTGTGATCCAAAGAGTCATAATCTGCTCACTAGTGCTTCCAAAAAAAGAAGGGAAAATGGCATCTGCCATATGGAGGCATCTAGGAACTAAGTTGGGGAGTTAACGAGTTAATACAAGTCAAGATCTTAAAACAGTACCTGGCATATAGTAAGTACTCCACAAATATTAGCTATTATCACCATAATTATTCCATGTGATATGATTACTGTAATTTAGCATAGCCTTATTATTATTATTGAGACAGTCTTGTTCTGTCACCCATGCTGGAGTCTAGTGGCACAATCTCGGCTCACTGCAACCTCCACCTCCCGAGTTTGAGCAATTCTCCTGCCATAGCCTCCAGAGTAGCTGATACTACAGGCATAGGCCACCACACCTGGCTAATTTTTGTATTTTTAGTAGAGACAGGGTTTCACCATGTTGGCCAGGCTGGTCTGGGACTCCTGACCTCATGACACCCACCTCAGCCTCCCAAAGTGCTGGGGTTACAGGCAGGAGCCACCGCGCCCGGCCTCGTCTTATTATTAAATGATGCACCTTAGACTCAGCTTTGATAGAGATTTAAGAAAAGGGTTTATATGATCTGGAAGGTAAAAGAGAGAGATTCCTCCTCTCCCTCAGAGGCCACTGTTGGTCATGGGGATGAGCAATAGCTTAAAAGGAAAAGGCAAGCTGGAGTGAGCATAAGGAACCAAAACTCACAGCTCTCAGTTTCAGCCAACCCTCTCAATGTGGCGCTAGTCCTTCCAGTGCCAACTGTGGATGAACAGAGTGTTTATCAAGTTACTTACAAAGGAAAAACAACATCAGGCTGGCACCATACTTCTCCATAACACATTAAATCTCAGAAAAGAAGAGATTATCCACAGAATATTGAGGATGAAAAACTTAAGCTGAAAACTCCACAACAAGCCAAATTTCACTCATGTGTGAAGCCAATTGAAAGGCATTCTCAATTATGCAAAAGCTCAAAATACCTGCAAACCCTTCTTTAAAGAAAAATTTACTTCATAACCCACTCAAGCCAAAAGAGAAATATATTTTTTGTTTTTGTTGTTGTTGTGTTGTTTTGTTTTGCTTTTTGTTTTTTTGAGACGGAGTTTCACTCTTGTTGCCCGGGCTGGAGTGCAATGGTGCGACCTCGGCTCATTCAACCACCACCTCCTGGGTTCAAGTGATTCTTGTGCCTCAGCCTCACGAGTAGCTGGGATTAGATGCGTGCGCCACCACACCTGGCTAATTTTTGGATTATTAGTAGAGACAGGGTTTCACCATGTTGGCCAGGCTGGTCTCAAACTCCTGACCTCAGGTGATCCACCCGCCTCAGCTTCCCAAAGTGCTGGGATTACAGGCATTAGCCACCATGCCCGCCCAAGAGAAATATTTTTTAAAAGAATTCAAGACCGGGCATAGAGGCTCATACCTGTAGTCCCAACATTTTGGGAGGCAGAGGTGGGAACACCGCTTGAGCCCAGGAGTTTGAGACTAGCCTGGGCACATTGTGAGACAGTGTCTCTACAAAAATTTAAAAATTAGCCAGGCATGGCGGCACAGGCCTATAGTCCCAGCTACTTGAGAAGCTGAGGTGGGAGGATCACTTGAGCCCAGGAACTACAGTGAGCTGTGATTATGCCATTGCACTCCAGCCTAAACAACAAAGGGAGATGCTGTCTCAGAAAAAAAAAGAAATCAATCAAGAAGGTAAAGTATGAAAGAGGCTGATGATGAATACTGAAGACATTTAAGCATAAAATGAATTACATATAACTATCTGAAGTATAGTTACAAAACAGAATACAAATATCATAAATAATCCTTAACAAAAATATATTTTTAAAGTAAGGTTTAAAATCCCAGATTACACCAACATAAATTTGAGTATTGTGTGGGTGTAGGGAGTAACAAAGAAGGAGAAATGTGAGAAAGTAGAAGTGTCCTGGTATTCTCAACTTACAAAGATACTATTTTATTCTCTGTGTTAGTAATAAGAAAAATATAAAGTTACATGTGTTATTTTAAAACAAAATGCATGCCTTCCAGATTACTAGGAAACAAAACAAGAAACAAGGACTACACAGTCCATATAGCAAAAAGAAGAAAAAAAAAAAAACAGGAAAAAAGCAAAAATAAAGACCAAACACACAAAATACAAGAGCAAAATCATTAAACCAAACCAAAATATTGATCTTTATTAATATAAAATATAATATGCAACAAAGATATACTATGAATCATTTTGCACTCAAAAATAAGGCACTGGACTGCATGAAGCTCTCAGAAATACATGGAGATATGGACAGAAAAATAGTAGCAATAAAAGACTTCAGTCCTTGATGAATTGATAGAAGACAAAAATAAAGAGGACCTCAATGTAATTTACAAGTCTGATTTAATGGATATGTTATGAAATGTTAAACAAAATATTTCCTATGTCTTGGAGTTTCAGTAAGGTTACATAACCAAGGACAATAAATGCTCAATGTCTACACTTTCTAAAAAGTGGTACAAAGCACAATCTAGAATTCCTTAAAAAAAGAAGTAGCCCCCAAATGGTCTTGCAACTCCTAACTCACAATCCACCTCTGGGTTATTTAAGAGAAAGTTAAGGGTTAACCGATAGGAGCAGTCTTTGAAGAGAGTTGTCAGACTAGAAGAAAGAACTGTGGTGTTTCTCATCCCCTTCCCTCACTCCCCTCCAAGTGAGGGGCTCAAGGAAAACCTCTGAGACTTTCTGGGAAGCACTTGCTGGGAGGGAGGCCTGACCTCTTTCTCACTAGTCATTAGCGGCCTATTCGTCTGCAGAAGTTCACAGGCTCACCTCCGGCTGCCACAGTAGCCAAGCTTGCAGGAGCTTGATGTGTGTCCTCAGAATTTGCTGGGACATAGACACAGTGACCTTCCCTTGCCCAGGGAAAATTGGAGGCTTGAATAAGTGTTTCTTGTGGGCCAAATTCTTCACCATCATATTATTTTATTATAGTAAACAACACCAAAAAAAAAAAAAAAAAAATCCAAAAGGTACATTGGTTAAGTTACTCATGACATAACCATATGATGGAATGTTATTGAGTCAATAAAAATGCTATAAAGTCTTTGGCACGAGAAAATATTCATTATAAATTTTTTTTTTTTTTTTTTTTTTGAGACAGAGTCTCGCTCTGTTGCCCAGGCTGGAGTGCAGTGGCACAATCTCCGCTCACTGCAAGCTCCGCTGTCTCCTGGGTTCACGCCATTCTCCTGCCTCAGCCTCCCGAGTAGCTGGGACTATAGGCGCCCACCACCACACCCGGCTAATTTTTTGTATTTTTAGTGGAGACAGGGTTTCACCGTGTTAGCCAGGATGGTCTCGATCTCCTGACCTTGTGACTTGCCTGCCTCAGCCTCCCAAAGTGCTGGGATTACAGGCGTGAGCCACCGCGCCCGGCCTATACACATTTTTTTGAGACAGGGTCTCACTCTGTTGCCCAGGCTGGAATGCACTGGTGCAATCACAGATTACTACAGCCTCAACCTCCTAAGCTCAAGCAATCCTCCCACTTCAGCCTCCAGAGTAGCTGGGATTATAGGTGTGTACCACACTGCCTGGCTAATTTTTTTTTTTTGGTAGAGACAGGGTCTCCCAAAATGTTACCCAGGTTGGTCTCAAACTCCTGGGCTCAAGTGATCCTCTCACTTTGGCCTCCCAAAGTGCTGGGACTACAAGTTTTAGCCACCATGTCTGGTCTATAATACTACAATGTATTTCTCTCTCTCTCTCTTTTTTTGAGACGAAGTCTTGCTCTGTCACCTAGGCTGGAGTGCAGTGGTACAATCTCAATTCACTGCAACCTCCGCCTTCCAGGTTCAAGCGATTCTCCTGCCTCAGTTTCCCGAGTAGGTGGGATTACAGGCATGTGCCACCATGCCCAGCTAATTTTTGTATTTTTAGTAGAGACAGGGTTTCACCACGTTGGCCAGGATGGTCTCAAACTCCTGACCAAAAGTGATCCACCCACCTCGGCCTCCCAAAGTGCTGGGACTACAGGTGTGAGCCACCGTGCCCAGCCCCATAATATATTTCTAAAATGAAATATAATGAAAACTATATAACAAAATAGTATGCTCATTATCTTAGTTCAAGCTACTATAACAAGATACCGTACATTAGGTGGCTTAAACAACAAAGTTTTTAAAATTTTTTATTCTTAAGTTTTGTGGGTGCATAGTAGGTGTATATATTTAACAAATATTTACTTCTCACCGTTCCAGATGCCAGAAGTCCAAGATCAGGGTGCCAGCATGGTTACTTCTTGGTGAGGGCCCTTGTTCTGGTTCACAGACGGCTGCCTTCTCACGGTATACTCACCTGTTAGAAAGAGAGCGTGCTGGTTCCTTCATCTCCTTGGAAGGGCATAAATCCCATCATGGGGCTTCACTCTCATGACCTCATCTAAACCTAATCACCTCCCAAAGGCCCCTCCTCCAAATTCTATCACATCGGGAACTAGGGCTTCAACATATGCATTTTGGGGGTACACGAACAGGATCCATTTTTTCAATATTGGATCACAAGGATTCCATAGCACTCCTTGTGATCCAATTTTGGGAAAATCCAAAGGTATATGTGCATTGGTGTGGCTTTGCGTCACGTTAACCAAGAATAGGAATGAATATCCCAGACTTTGGAAATATGCCAGTGTTGTACTCCTTTGCAACTGTCTTAACGTCATGGTGGCAAATCTCAATCCAGTGGTAAAGGTGGGGACTTCTTTAAAATAAGTGAATGTCCCTGCTGGTAGTTATCCCAAGAAGAGGTTAGCCTGGAGCAAGAATTGGTGGGACAGTAGAGAGAGCTTTCTGCTCTGCCTGACTGAGTACAGATGGCAGGGGACCAGAGGTTTGGAACAGTTCATACAGTAAGAATACAAACATCCTTTACTTTGAACTTCAACTAATATATTCAATTTTAAATTTAATCTCTACATATTCTTCCCCTTTGTTCACAAAATATATGGATCAAATTCATTCTGCATATAATTATATTAAGAGAATCCCAAAATTAGTTTTAATAAATGGAAAAAGTTGGTGTTATGTATTTCAGATAATGCCTCTGAATCTTTCCAAATTTGGGAGCTCTACAATCATCAGTCTTTTCAGTATAATTTGAATAATCAACAATCAAAACTTTTAAATATACATGTATAAATATATATTGAAACTAATTAACAATGAAGGAAAACTGAATATAAACTCATAACAATAATAATAATGGGTAAAAATTATTGCATACTTACTATAAAGTGCTTCTTTTCCTGAGGGCTTTATGTATATTACTCAATCTTCATAATAACCTACGAGATAAGATACTATTACTATCGCTATTTTTTAGATGAGGAAACTGAAGTACAGAGAGTTTAGTGACTTGCATAAAAGCACACAATATTTAATCTTCTTTATTCCTCAGGAACACGGCCTCAAGAACAACCAAGCACTTGATACAGAGTTAACTCTAACTCATATGAACCAATCAAGGCCCTGGTCAGGGTGGTGCATACCAGGTCAGCACCAAGGTCGATATATCCAAAATGAGATTGTATAAGAGGAAAGGACTGGAATGCACCTCCAAGAAGGTCTGGAAAAGCGAGAACCAACTAGGCAAGAGGTTCAAAGCTCAAGGAAGATGAAAGCAAATTCTTGAGTCAAAGCACAAGTGGTTGGAAAAGATCTTTAGGCTTCCTGAGGCTATGCAGTGAGCATATCTAGAGAAAGCGGGGCGGGAGTGGAAAAAAGCAAAGAGCAAAGCTAGCACCACTCTGGCCCTCAGTCCCCTTTCTCTAGGCAAATTGGAGCTGACATTTTCCAAGTGTGAAGGCGCTCACTCACTCTAGGAAAGTTCTGAGATGGGGAGCAGAGTCTCACAGCCAGTCCCCAGTCAGTGTGCATAAGAATCTCCCGGGAAGCTGTTAAAAATGCAGGTTCCTTCTTAAAAAAAAATTGAACCCACAAAAGCAGAGAGTAGAGTGGTGATTACCAGCTGGAGCGGTAGGTCGGATGGGGTTGGGGAGATGTTGGTCAAAGGATACAAAACTTCAGTTAGATAAGAGGAGTAAGTTCAAGAGAATTTGTGCAATATGTTGACTATAATTAATAACAAAGTATTGCATTTTCGAAAATCTCTGAGAGAGTAGATTTTAAGTATTTTCACCACAAAAATAAGTATCTGAAGTAATACATATGATAATTACCTTGATTTCGCCATTCCACAATGTATACATATTTCAAGACATCATTTTGTGCATGATAAATGTATATAATTTCTACTTATTAATTAATTGACTCCTGATTCCTCCTGGAAGTCACTTTCAGAAATCCCAAGTCCACTGGTCTACATTAGGGCTGATGAATCTAAATTTTAAATAAGCTCCCCAAGTCGTTAGAGAACTACACTTTGAGAAAACTGCACCTGGCCGGGCGCAGTGGCTCACACCTGTAATCCTAGCACTTTGGGAGGCCAAGACGGATGGATCACGAGGTCAGGAAATCGAGACCATCCTGGCTAACACAGTGAAACCCCGCCTCTACGAAAAATACAAAAAATTAGCCGGGCGTGGTGGCGGGTGCCTGTACTCCTAGCTATTCGGGAAGTCGAGGTAGGAGAATGGCGTGAACCCGGGAGGCGGAGCTTGCAGTGAGCTGAGATTGCACCACTGCACTCCAGCCTGGGCAACAGAGCGAGACTCTGTCTCAAAAAATAAAAATAAAAAAGAGAAAACTGCACCTATACATTTTCTAGGTAACAGGTATAGATACTGTCCATGGGACCATTGGGAAATAAACACTTTTCCTCTGAATACTTGGGGTTTCCTGTCCAGCTGACACTGGTGACTTAGTGGGGCACATAGGGGAGTTCAGAGACTCAGTGAACCTGGCACAGTGGGCAAAACTACAAGATAGGATGTCTCTCCATGAAGGGACACAGCTAGAGTAGGATGCCACGGAATTGGTGATATGTCTCAAAAGATCCCAGACTTGCAACTGCATTTGAATCTACAACTATATCACAATAAGTTAAAAGTTTCAGAAGAAAATCCCTAACAGAGATCATCCAGCCACAGGCATGGGCAGGTGCTATGTATGTGCCTGGAGAAGAGGTACTAGGGTGTTTCCCAGGGATCCGGTGTTAGTGTCAACTCCTGGGCCCAGTCCTTTGCATTAATTTGGAGGAAGGGGGTGAAATAGTTAGCTGTCAGTATGTGGATGGTGCTGGAAAGTGTGAGAGCACAGTAAGTATGAACACTGCAGTTGCTATGAAAAAGGACGGTAAAGTGGTGTGAACAAACACTCGTCTAAAGGACACAGACTGATCATCTTGTCAATCGACTCTTTATAGCACATCTATGGGACTGGCTGTCAGTCTCTGGATGAGTGGCAAACAATGGCTACTAGTTATGAACATGACATATTTTGAAAAGCTCCCTTGGAAAAATAGCACAAACTGGGGACTCGGAGCCCAGATGGTTTGACTGTCCATGGAGGCAGAACCAAAAGATCTCACTATTCTAAGAGGATGGTAGCAGCTAGAGTGGATCGGGAGAATATTACCAGCGGTAGAGATGGGAAGACAAGCCATTTTAGTGTCAGAGTCCACCATCAGCAGTAGAGACTTGCTTTGAGAGGAGAGTCAATTGGATACTAAATGCATTGTGAAGGTTTCTAAAGACATTCCTCAATCAAAATCAGGGGGTAAGGCAATCCCTTGAATCACCTAGGCCTGTCCTTTACCTGGACACAAGTGGTACAGTAGGGAGAATTCTGAATGGTGTCACCCAAAGCTTTGCATAGGCCTTAAGCCAGCAGGCATTGTACACCTTTCTCTGCTATTCCTGGTTACTGAGACTCCAATCTCCACTGTGAATCCCAGTAAGCCACTAAGGTAAACTGCTTGCCTTGATCGTCTCTCTCGGCACTCTGTAGTATATACAGTCTTGAATGTCAGTTAGGCGCTGTTACGTGGGAATCTACCTGCTTCCCTAACAGATATAGCCAGGACACAGTTCTGTGGTTATGACACTCCCATAATAGAGCTGCCTCCACAGCCCTTTGAAATTCTGGATCAGGGATTGGACATCTAACAGGTAGTTTTGACTGCTTGGCATGACAGAGTTCAATCCAATGAAAGGAAGACACGGTCCCTTGTGTGTAATGAATCTGCAAGTCACTTATTCAAACTGTAGTAGTCTGAACTCAGATGCTGGATGTCAGGTGCCCTCAGGATTGTCTTCCTGGGTCGTGACTGCAGCCACTCCTACACAGGGTGATTTCCTGGGCTGGAGCCAGTTTGCAGGACTATGAGACTATGTGGACTACAAAGACTAGCTAGGCCCCAGGGCGGCGGCAGAGTAAGCCCCACAGCAATGCATTACGCCTTCATGAAATGAGTGTTGAATGAATGAGGTAGTGTGATTCAGTGTATATTTGATCCACTGCAACAGGTGGGAAGGGGGCAGAAGGAGCTGCTTCCTAAAATAACCCTTCTTCAGACTCTTAAAGAACTGATCCTTGTTTTGAATTAAAATCTGTCTTCATTTAACTTCCAGTCCTTTGCCCTACAGATAACTGTCAGCGCCACATCAGTTCTACCCATTCTTTCACATGAAGACAGATGTCATGTTCTGAGTCATCTTTCTTCGCCTCCTTCCACCAGTCCTTATGTGGTGACTCACATTTCAGCGAGCTCCAATATGTCCCTGTATAATCTCTTTTTTTTTTTTCTTTTCTTTTCTTTTTTTTTTTTTTTTGAGACGGAGTTTCGCTCTTGTTGTCCAGGCTGGAGTGCAATGGCGCGATCTCCGCTTACCGCAACCTCCGCCTCCCGGGCTCAAGCGATTCTCTGGCCTCAGCCTCCCTAGTAGCTGGGATTACAGGCATGCGCCACCACTCTCGGCTAATTTTGTATTTTTAGTACAGATGGGGTTTCTCCATGTTGGTCAGGTTAGTCTCGAACTTCCGACCTCAGGTGATCCGCCCGCCTTGGCCTCCCCCAAGTGCTGGGATGAGCTACTGTGCCGGGCCTGTAAAATCTCTTAAAAGTGTGGTACACGGAGTGCAAGTACTCCACCTGTGGCCTGACTAATATGCAGTACAATATTATCACTAAATTGCTACAGACGGTGTGCTTTTCGTTGTTGTCACAGAAATGTATTTGGTTAGTTATATTTGTTAACGTCTCGTCTGACTTTCCAGTCTTCCCTCACTTTGTGCAGTCATATTTGCCGAGTCAAGTAAAAGTTATAACATTTAGGACACAATGCCTGACTTACTATAATTACCATTATTATCTTATGATCTTTACAAAACAGAATTGCCACTTAGGTCTCAGGCCCTACCTCCTTCAGCCTCCGAAATGTTAAAGTTACCTTGCACTGCATACTTGTAGTATCGCCCCTAATAAGCCCCGCTCCTGGGACCTCCGCGGCTGGAGCCCAGCGTTTGCCCCACCCACGCCGAGCCCGAGGCGGGGCTCCGGATGTAGCCGCTGATTGGCTGGCTGGGGCGCAGCTTGATGGCGTCGGGCTGGAGAGCCGCAGTCCCGGCTGCGGCATCAGGGAGAAGGCGGACTGTGTAAGGGGGCCTGTGACCCCAGCGTGCCGTGGCCTCGGGGAGTGGGAAGTGGAGGCAGGAGCCCTCCTTACACTTCGCCATGAGTTTCCTGATCGACTCCAGCATCATGATTACCTCCCAGGTGAGTCACCGCCTCCCTCCCCGACACCCGTCCGCCTCCCTTTCCCGAATCGCCCTCTCAGGTCCCCCGCGGTGCAGGCTGGTCCGGGGTCTGGCGTCTCTCTCTAGCGGCCTGCGCCAGTTACTCCGGGACCCAGAGCGCGAAGAGGGTGTGCGATTTGCTGCCTCTGGTTCCCTCAGCCCCGGCTGTCAGGAGGCTGGCCTGCGGCCGTCCGCGGCCCCACCCGGCATGCGTCCCTGGAATTTCGGTCCACTTTTGGAAGGGGTCCGCTGGCCTCCACGCTAAGAGCCGGCGCCGCCACCTAAGGCGGCGGTCCTCAGAGCTCCTCGAAGCTCCTCGAAGCTTCCGGGCTGCGCCGCTGACCCTGGGCTGGGGAAGCCTGTGTGGTTCCGGGCACCGGGTGTGCGGCGCGCCAATCAGGGCTGGTTACTGAGGACACGTCAGTGTAGGCTTTGCTGTTAGATGTCAAATCCTGCATCCAGGTGTGGAGAAATTTGCTGCTTCAAAGTGTCAATATAAGGTTATACGTATGCTTAAAAGTATAAGGTTTCGTTTTTGCACTGACACCTCATCCTTTATCCTATGCTTACTTACCCACCTTTTTCGGATGTTTTTCTGACCCTCATTTCTTCTCCATTGGTCACCTTCGTTTGTTTGTACAGTCAAACATTTATCGACCGTTATATAAAGCTCTGAGCGTACAAACATATAAGACATTGTCTGTGCTCAATAGAAGCTTCGTCTAGTGAGCCTCTTACTTTTACCTTGTAATCCATTGTTAATTATTGTTTCTTCCTAGCATTTATCATAGCACTGGCATCATTTATGTATGTGTTTATGATTTTGTTTTTTGAAGTCCTGCCTTGTTCATAGCTGTATCCCCACTTTTAAGTGCAGGCATTCAATAAATAATTGTTGGCCAACTGTTAATATTTGTGAAGCTCAGACTACCTATTTACCTTTTTCCCCTCGTCTTTCCAATAATTTGAAGATTTTTTTTTTTTTTTTTTTTTTTTGGTTGTTTTTACTTGTTCTTTCTCTCAAACGGCAAGTAACAGAAACAGTTACCTTTTGGAGCTTAAAGTGAACTAAATTTTTGTTCTTTGATTCAGTTTTTGTATTGCTTCATCCTAATACTCGTCTCCGTATAGCGGAGCATTGTCCTTTTCTGTTTAAAAACTTTTACAATATTTAAGAAGATAAGAAAGAAGGAAAAGCCATCCATGATCCTACCACTCTAATGCAATCTTTTTTTAAAAATTTTTTTTAAATTTACCACCTTTCTATAGTTTTCATAATTGTTTTTATTGACTGCGTACTATTCAAATGTATTGTTAAAAAACCTGGACATGTAATTCTTCTGCTTAAAACCTTTCTAAGACTACCCAGTGCCCTTGGTGACAACTCAGGGTTATTTTTAACCCTAGTACCAATTTCAGAAAAAGAATAATATTTAATTAGCTTGTCTTTTCACTTAGAATAAAGATAAGAATGTCAGTAGAAAATTGGCTTTGCATTGCAGCCTCTAGGATTTTTAGCGTGGATATAATTGATACGTTGAACCAAGGAAGTGGCTTTTTAATTTTGTATGCCTTGTAATCATAGACTTTTACTTCACACATGTATCCATATGCAGTAATTAATTGTTAAACTAATGTGGAAGAAAGACCCAAAGATTCCTTTGCATGGAATGTTCTCTGTTCAAATATTTATGTGGCTACTTTATCATCATTTCGGCATTAGTAAAAATGTCACTTTAGGAAGGTTTTACCTGACCCCCTGCCCGCAGCCAAAGTAGCTTTCCATTTCGGCTGCCTTCTTCCTCATTTCCATGTTTTATTTTCTTCTTGGCATTTATTACTATAGTTCATTTGTGTGTTCATGTGTTTGTTGTCTGTCTGTGAAGTCCAAGACACTGTCTTTCTTGTTCTCTTCTGTATTCACCAGCATCTAGATCAGTTGCAGGCACACAGTAGAGTTGTAGTGAATACGTATTTAATAAAAAGCACTTCTCTAGAGAGGTGCGGTTACCTTGGAAACACCACCATTGCCCCCTGAGCCCCTCCCCACTCATTTTTTCTGTGTTGTATTAACTGAAAGGTTTATTTGAAATGAAATCTAAAATTAGAGATCACATATTGAATCTTGCTCACCGCGCCACAGGATGAAGTTCACGCTCCTTTACGTGGCTTTTCAGGTCCATTATTGATGGGACCCTTGCTCTTATCAGGTCCCTTATTGATGGGACCCTGGCTCTTCTCTCTTCAGCTGTGGCTTTCACCATTTTATTGTTTAGACTTCCTGAACTTCTTTTAGTTCCCTAACCTGTCCATGCTGTGGTGCCTCCAGATTTCCACACAGTGTGTTTTCTTTTTCTGGGCCTTTTCCTCATATCCCTTTCAGCCTTCAGATCTCAACTCGAACATCCAAGAAGCTTCTCCTAGACTGGACTAGATGTCCCTATACATACTGCCATAGTGCCCTTCACCTACTTCCCCTGTAACAACGCTACCACATTGTTTTGTTTATTTCCTCCATAGATTACTTGTTTATCTCCTCCATAGATTATAAACTCCTTGAGAGTAGCATTCATGCTCTCTTGTTTGCCATTCTATCCCTTGGACCTGGCACATATTAGGCACTAATAAATATTTGTTAAATGATTAAAAGGGTGAACAAATGATCCAAGAAAGGTGTCTTTTATACTTAATTCTTTAATAACTATCCTGCTGATGGCCATCTTTTTTTTTTTTTTTTTAACAGTAGCTAATTTTCAACCCAGAAGTCACTTTTATAAAAGCAACTGTTATCTAACTCATGTTTTGAGCCCTCTGTACAGTCATTAAGACTTATCAGTTCCAGAGTACACTCTTAAGTCCTAAGGTCAAGATTTTACTCTGTACAATTCTGGAAGTGTTAAGTCTCGTTTATAATAAGAAGCTATGTGCCAAGCTTCTTGTTTTATTTGCAAAGCTTCTTATTTTATTTCCATTTTATTTGCAAAGCTATTTGAAATTGCATTTTGCTTCTGCATTCTTTTTGGATCCTCTATAATCTTGCCAGAATTTGTGTTTATCTTGGATGTAAATGAATTCTCCAGCTACTTTTGTGTATGTGTGTAGTTTAAAAGTCTTTTTTTTTTTTTTTTCCAACTTTAATTTTATTGTAGATTTGGTACTTGTGCTGGGTATATTGTGGGAGCTGAGGTTTGGGATACAAATGATCCGGTCACCCAGGTACCAGGTACATAGTACTCAATAATTGGTTTTTCAGTCCTTCCTCTTTCTCCCCTCCCCTGTCCCCAAGTAGTCTCCAGTTTCGTTTTTTGCCATCTTTATGTTGGTGAGTACCCAATATTTAGCTCCCACTTAGAAGTAAGAACATGGGGTACTTGGTTTTCTGTTCTTGCGTTAATTTGTTTAGGATGATGGCCTCTAGGTGCATCTGTGTTGCTGCAAAAGACATAATTTTGTTATGAAAGTCTTTTTACACTTTCTTTGTCAATGTGAAAGGAGGCCACAATAAAATATTAAAGGTATATATCTGTTTCTCTTTTCTTCCATTCCCCTCCCCACCATATAAACTTAAAATTTTTGCTTGTTTTCTCTTACTTGTCTAAAGTTCCATTTCACAGCAATCTTGATTTTTTTTTTTAAATCATCCATTTCCACTATACGTACTACTCTCATTCCTAACTGCCCAACTTCTCTATCTTCAGTTGTGGCTTCATAAGTCATATGAATATGGTCTCTAAACTCTGAATTTACATCTGTCTTTATAGAGTTACCATTGGTAACTCTTTATAATAGCCAAAGGATATCCTGGACATTTTCTCCTAATCTGTTTGACCCTTTCCTTTTCTACTTGATCTAGATGCTTGGATCCAACTTACTTTCTTACACCCGCTTGTTCGTTTACCTTCATATATATATACATATATATATATATATAAGTCCATACTTGGATCATTGTTATAGTTTGTCTACCACTAATACAGAGGCCTGAAAGCTACTGTAGAAAATCACACGGCTGTGTAGTTTGCCAACGCCATGAGTTTAACCCTCAGCTCCCTGAATTATTCCTTTTCTTGACCTTAATCAGCTACTTGTTTTATTCCCCTCAAAGTTTGTCTGATTCTTTGTTAAAGCTCCCTTTTCTATACTCACCTGTCTTACTCCTAGCAGATGACCTTGCCTCGTACTTACTCAACAAAAGTGAAGCCAAAAGGTATGATCTCCTACTATGAATACTTTCCGCATAATCTAAAAGGTTATCTGTGTTCACAACCATTCTCACCTCCTTTCCTCCCATTTCAGAAAACGGGGTTCCCCTACTCTGGTTTAAGGCCATTCTCCCTACCTTTGATCTTAGAGTAGCTTATTTTGAAGTGGTTAAAAGCACAGATTTTCTAAACAGCCAGACTCAATAAGAGCTGAAAACATATTATTTTTAAAAAAAGCACAGATTTTGGAGTCAAACAGGCTTGAGTTCAATCTTGATTCTAATACTTACTATAAATTGATTAACTTCTCTAAACCTCATCTTCCTCTGTGAAAATAGGACAATCAAACTTACCTTACTGGGTTTTTAATGATTTTTATAAGATTATAATGCTAAGTACTACTTAGAGAGCCTGGAATATAGTAAATGCTTAATAAAAGTTACCTAATAATAATAATAAATTAATAGTATCAGTTCATCCTCTAGCATTCCATCATCCTTCTCATCTTTTTCTCCTTACTTGACTGCTTTCTTTCCCCTTGGCCAATAAACTGTCCCTTTATTCCATATTCTTCTCTAGCCTATTATCTAGTGTTCTCTTTTTTTCTCATTCCTGGCCCTCCCTGGAGTAATTTGCATTTACTATCCCCACTGGTTTAGCTCCCATTCATTCTGACCTGCTACACTCTGGTTCCTGCCCCTACCTCACCATTCAAACTGTGTTCCTTATCCTCCAGTGTTTTCTTCTTGGCACATTGCTCTCCTTACTCTAGATACTGTTCCCGGGTGGTCTCGTGTACTTTGATGGTTTCAACTCATAAGTATATCTTAGACCTGCCTTCACAATCTGTCTTTTATTCAGGTGCTTGCTGGATATCTTGACCCATCTTGCTGGCTGTCCCTCAGGCCCTTAGTGTGTTCAAAATGAGCTCATCATTTTCCCCATCCTCTGCCCCCTTTCCTAAACCTCTTCTTTCTCCAATATTCTTAATATAAATTGGGTAGCTTCACTATTCATCCTGTATTCCAAATTATCATCCTTGACTTCTCCCTGCTGATTTTACCTCCTAAATAGTTCTCAAATCTGTCATCTCCTCTTCTGTCACCAAATGTCTTAATTCAGGGCTTTCTCATCTTTCATCTGAACTCCCATAACACATTTCTATGATGTTTCTCTTCCTACAATGTTATTTCCTTCAAATGTGTCTTCCACACAGCCACCATACTGCTCTCTATAATATACAACTAATCAGACCATGCCATTTCCCTGCTTAAATAACCCTCACCACCTACAGACTATAATCTTAGGGTGGCCTTCAAAGCTCTCAGTGGTTGGACATCCACTCCTCTTGTCTAGCCTCATTTTTAACCTCTTCCTTCTTTGAATTTCATCTTATAGCATCTCCAAACCATGTGTAGTTCCTGGCATATACCACGCTTTTCACTCTGCGCCTTTACTCATGCCCTTTGCTATCTGGAAAGCCCTGTCCTTCTACCCCTACCACCTGTTTTTACCCTACTTGATTCTTTTTTTGTTCATTTGTTTTGTTTTGAGACAGGGTTTCGCTCTGTCACCCAGGCTGGAATGCAGTGACGTGCTCACGGCTCACTGTAGCCTCCACCTGCCAGACTCAAGTGGCCTTTCCACCTCAGCCTCCCCATAAGCTGGAACTACAGGCACGCACCACCACACCTAGCTAATTTTTGTATTTTTTGTAGAGATAGGGTTTCACCATGTTGCCCAAGCTGTTCTCAAACTCCTGGGCTCAAGCGATCCACCCACCTTGGCCTCCCAAAGTGCTGGGATTACAGGCGTGAGCCACTGTGTCCAGCCTCCCTACTTGATTCTTACTCATCCTTTGAGAGGGTGGTTTTTAATATGTTAGGAGTGGTGGAAACCGTTGAGTGTGTGATGAATACCTTCAACCACTCTAGAAAAATGCACATAATCCCAAAATTTGCACACAATATCAGGTTGTAACTGCAAATTAAAACTTCCTTCAGCTCAAGCATTATCTTCTCCAGAAAATCTGTCCTAAGCCCCTACAGACTGGTTTGGTCTCCCTCTTTCATATTGTTTTACAATATCATGTATGTATTTCTATCATTGCACATCCATATTATGTTATAGTTATTTATGTAGTGTCTTCACTATGTTGTGAGCTTGTAGAGGGTAGTAACCATCCTACTTATCTTTGTATCCTCAGCACCTAGCATAGCACATCGGAGTTATTACAGAAAATTTAAGATTGAATGCTGAAGAATAAGCCGTCTTTTATGTAGACCACTTAGCCATTCAGCAAGCACTTACGGAGAGTCTGCTGTGTACCAGGCTTTGTGCTGGATGCCAAGGATACAAAGATTACAAGACAAACATGGTTTTTGTCCTCATAGAGATTATAATCTAATGTCAAAAAATATTTAAATTAGGCATTACAAAACCATATGGTAAGCACTTTGATGAGGGAAGTACAATGTAGAATAAGATTATATAAAAAGAGCAATTTATCTGTGTTTGGGAGGGCAGCGAGGGCCTTCCAGAAGGAGTAAATAGCATAACTGGGAGAGGGTTGGAGAGAAGTTCCTGTCAGAGGACATTTACAGAGGTCTTGATGTGAAAGAATATGGGTCTAAAGAACCAAAGGAAGTTCCAGGGGGCTGAACACATGAGTTTGCTAGGCAGCAGGGGCATGATAAGAAGCTAAAGTAGTCTGCTAAACTACTGAGTTTACACTTGCTCAGTAAAGTAGTCCCTAGGAAGACATAAAATCATTTTCTTCATAAAGGTCCTAGCCAGTTTAAGAAGAAAAGATTAGTCGTGTCAGTGCATGTCTATGTATAGAAAGTTCTATTTACTACAGACCAGCTTTGTCAGCTGTCATGTGGCTACGGTCTCTGCCAGTTTGAAACAAAACTGACGAAAGAGGGATCCTGCAATCTCTCAGCTTTACACTGAGATGAAAACCACTTTAGTAGATTAGGCAGGATGGTGGAGAAGCTAAGAAAACTCTCTGAAGGAAACAGATATAAAACACATTAGGCTTTCTACTGCTCGTCTACTTTTGGTCTCAACTCCTTTCCCGTGAAGTTTTTATTTTTTAAATTGATTTATTTTTATTTATTTTTTGAGACAGGGTCTCACTCTCTTGTGCAGGCTGGAGCACAGTGGTGCAGTCATGGCTCACTGCAGCCTCAACTTCCTAGGCTCAGGTGATCTTCCCACCTCAGCCTCCCAGGTGACTGAGACTACAGGCACACCCCACCACCCCCAGCTCATTTTTATGTGTGTGTGTTTTTTTGTAGAAACGGGTTTTCACCATGTTGGCCAGGCTGGTATTTTTTTTTAAATACTTGCAGTCAGGGATCATCCATAAGAAGCAAATCTCACTCTGACTCCTTTTCTTTTTTTTTTTTTTTTTGAGACCGAATCTCACTCTATCACCCAGGCTGTAATGCAGTGGCACGATACTGGCTCTCTGCAACCTCCACCTCCCAGATTCAAGCTATTCTCATGCCTCAGCCTCCGGGAGCAGCTAGGATTACAAGTGTCCACACTCAGCTAATTTTTGTGTTTTCAGTAGAGACAGGGCTTTGCCATGTTGGCCAGACTGGTCTTAAACTCCTGGCCTCAGGTGATCTGCCCACCTTGTCCTCCCAAAGTGCTGGGATTACAAGTGTGAGCCACCACACCTGGCCGCTGATTCCTTTTCTATTTGCGAGCTTCTCTGGCTCATGTAATTATTATCATAAGATTATGGGAAAATATGTACTTCCATTTTTGTCTTGAAGCATACTCTGTAACATGTATAACTTCAAACATCCAAGAACATTTAAACATTTATTTCCAATGTCATGAGCTTTAATAAGTAGGTCTTATAAGAGTGGATCTTATCTTTAATCCCTGAAATAAGTTAACCGTCTAATTAGCAGACCTGTTTTATAGAAATGTTTCTATAAAACATTTCTCAAAAAAAATATATATTGACATTCTATCTTCTTTCCCTTCCAGATACTATTTTTTGGATTTGGGTGGCTTTTCTTCATGCGCCAATTGTTTAAAGACTATGAGGTGAGAAGAAATAATTTTGTCATACTTACACTATATGAATTTAGATTGACAAGAAAAATGTCTCCATTAAAGAAACATTATGTTCATTTCCAAGATAGGAAGCTGTTACCAAATAAGTACTATATAACTATTAGATTAGAGAATATAATTAGGCTTAATTGATTTAAAAGGGGGGAAAAAGGCAAGCCAAATGTAGCCCAGAAGTTAGGAGAAAGGAATGTTATGCCTTAGTCGTATTAGGGTATGCACCAATAGCAAATAGTTATTCTGCAGGAGAGAATTTAATTCATAATGTCTCACAAATGTTCCCTTTCATTTGTCTATCTGGCCCTGAATTGCCAGTCTTATATTCTGAGTTAATACCAAAATCCCAAGGCTATCAGGGGAACCAGCCCCCAATATTTCAACATAGGTTCTTTCTGTTTTCCCTAAGTGTCGACTGGTCTCAGAAATAAAGAGTACAAAGAGAAAAATTTTACAGCTAGGCCTCTGGGGGTGCCATCACATATTGGTAGGACTGTGACAGCAACCCTGAGCCACAAAACCAGCAAGTTTTTATTAGGATTTCAAAAGGGGAAGGGGTGTATGAATAGGAAGTGGGTCACAGAGGTCAGTGCTTCAGATGCAATAAAAGATCACAAGCCAGAGGCAAAAATTAGAATTACTGATGAGGATCTGTGTCCCGCTGTGCACGCATTGTCTTGATAAACATCTTAACAGGAAACAGGGTTCGAGACCTGACAACTGGTCTGACTAGAATTTACCAGACTGGAATTTCCCAAGCCTAGTAAGCCTGAGGGCATTGCAGGAGACCAAGGCGCATTTCAGTCCTATCTCAACCGCATAAGACAGACTTCCTAGAGCGGCCCTTCATAAACCTCCCCCTAGGTGTGCATTCCTTCCCCAAGGTTATTCCTTGATGGGAAAAGAATTCAGCGATATTTCTCCTACCTGCTTTCTGCAAGAAGAAAAATATGGCTGTATTCTGCCCGACCCCTCAGGCAGTCAGACCTTATGGTTATCTTTCCTTGTTCCCTGAAAATCACTGTTCTGTTCTTTTTCAGGGTGCACTAATTTCGTATTGTTCAAACACACATGCTTTACAAACAATTTGTACAGTTAACACAATCATCACAGGGTCCTGAGGTGACATACATCCTCAGCTTACAAAGATGACGGAATTAAGAGATTAAGACAGGCGTAAGAAATTATAAAAGTATTAATTTGGAGAACTAATAAATGTCCATGAAATCTTCACAATTTATATTCGGAGATTGCAGTAAAGACAAGTGTAAGAAATTATAAAAGTCCTAATTTGGGGAACTAATAAATGCCCATGAAATCTTCACAATTTATGTTCTGCCACAGCTTCAGCCGGTCCCTCCATTCGGGGTCCCTGACTTCCCACAACACAAAGCTGGTGTTTTTATCTTAAGCTTTGGATTCAGAAGATCACCATCCTAGACTGGACATTTCCTAGTTAGTTTTCCTAATTAGTAATAAGATCAGGGGTTATAGTCTACATTGGGTCATTTCTAGGATGTTCTCCATTAAACTTTCTCGGGGAGTTTATTGTCTGAAAGAGCCTGGAATTCTGGAGATTTCCTTCTGCCCAATACTTTAAGGCCTCCCAAGGGAGGTTCCAGAACTGATCCAGGATCTGCAGAGTGTTGAAGAATCCCTTTAAGCATTAACCATTATATATGAATCTGTCAGTTTTTTGTCAGTGTGCATCAGGAATTCTAAGTGCTACCTATGACCCTGTCACTTCATCTGCTTGTCCTCAAAATTCTTCATCCACAAGAGGATGCTGGTAATAGTGACTCAAGATTCAGAAGTGCCACCTACTTTGGTCTTTTTCTTTAGCTCCAGGCAAGTTACTGTTGTGACCCTACTTCCAGTGACTTGAGAATTTCCTCAGAATAAGTTTTCTGACTTGTAACCAGAAGGAGGTTATCAGTTCAGTTTTTAAACATGGAAATAACTTCTAGTTTCTATTTGGCTTTTAACAGATACGTCAGTATGTTGTACAGGTGATCTTCTCTGTGACATTTGCATTTTCTTGCACCATGTTTGAGCTCATCATCTTTGAAATCTTAGGAGTATTGAATAGCAGGTGAGTAAGAGTACTGAATAACTCCTCTTGAAGAGTTCTGTGCTACATTCTTTACGGTGGAAAAGCTATCTGGATCTCATAACTGAGATAAAAAAGAAACACTGTGTTAATAATTTAGTCTTAGTAACTACAATGATCACAGCAGATATGGGTCACAGCCACCTAGTAGCTGGTTTGACAAAGATTATGAGAAACCAGGAAAAAAAGATCTGACCATTAACTCTGAAAAACTCATTGGAGTGAGGCTGTGAAGCCGCAGACTAGGCTTCACTCCTAGAAGCTTTATTTTTCCGGGACTGCTCGCTGACTGAATCCCAGTAACAGCCCTTCACATTGTTCTGCTGATTGAAAATCTCTACCTGAAAAGGTTAGAATTCCTCAGAGATACTTAACGATCTCTCTGAAGACTGAGCTCCAGTTCTTACTTAACTTAGTTACTTTTATTGATTTTACAGTCATGGTCAAGTTTGGTTGAATTTAAAGTCTTTCTTAAAACACTTTTTAAAAGTAACTCTTTACTCCCTTCCGAATAATAGACCTGTTAGTTTATTAGACAGTCTATCCAAAATATTTCTTGCTTGTTAATCTGCAAGCTTGAGAATTTTTTTAGCGGCATTTATATGTAGGGTTCAACTATGCTATGCAGACTTTGTTGTACTTTTTTATCACTACCTGGAAAAACCTTTTAAGAGTAAAGTAGTCTTTCACTCTAAAGTTAGGACTCAGCGCCAAGGTAAGTTCATTGTAGACCCCTGACACTTGAGACTTGTAGAGAGACTGTACTCTCAAATCCTTTGATAATCAGAGTTGAAAACAAAATTTGAATTAAAAAGAAAAACTTACTGTACAAATGGTTAATCACAAAACATTGAAAGGTTAAAAAAAGAGGGGCTAGACACAGTGGCTTACGCCTATAATCCCAGCAATTTGGGAGGCTGAGGCAGGAGGATCGCTTAAGTGCAGAGGTTCAAGGCCAGTCTGGGCAACAAAGTGAGACCCTGTCTCTACAAAAAAATTTTTAAAAATTAGCAGAGTGTAGTAGTACACACCTATAGTCCCAGCTACACTAGACGCTGAAGCAGGAGGATCCCTTGAGCCCAGGAGTTTGAGAATGTGCAGTGAGCTGTGATCACCGGATAAGACAGTGAGACCCCATCTCTTAAAAAAAAAAGAGTGAGACAGAGAGAATCAGAGTTGATAATAATGGTCTCTTGATAGAACAATGAATGACATGTATTATGGTAAAATAGAAGTATGTTCTGATTCTCCTACTTTTAAACTTTAATAATCCAAACCTTTTTTTGGATGAGCTAGATATAGTTCCTTTGACTATAGAGAATAGACAAGTATTATTTTACATAATGGTTATTAAATTTTATTGTCACAACCTGCACCTTTCACTGCTATTTAAGCAGGGGTTGGCAGACTTTCTTCTGTAAAGGGACAGATAGTAAATATTTTAGGCTTCTGTGGACCAGAAGGTTTCTATTGCAACTACTCAGCCCTGCTGTTGTAGAGCGAAAGTAGTCATAGGGAATATATAAACAAATGAGCATGACCATGCTCTAATAAAACTTAATTTGTAAAAGCAGGTGGCTGCCAGGCCATAGTTTGCCAACTACTCATCTAAATATAGATAGAGAGGATTCAGTTATTCTAAAGCTATAGTTTTGTTTTTGGTAGATGATGTCCCCCAGCTTTTAACTTATAGTTAATAACCCATATAGTAAGAAACATCAGTCGTACTGTGGTGTATATTTCTTAAATTTCTTAGCTAGTTAAAGAGGATAAGAAGTAGCATTGCTGAAATCTAGTTCTTCTTTGTGTGTTATATAGAGGATTGGGTTTGTTCAGTCTGAGACGTGTCTTCAGTTATACCTGTTTTTTCATGCTAGTGTTTCACCCAATTATGGAACACAAATGTGAACCTTGATGATGTAGTATAACTCTCCATTGACTGGACTCAGAATCATTTTGAAAAGAGAATCTTGGCCAGAATATTCCTTTGACTCGCCTTTCAGCAGAGATTGTATGACTTCCTATCCAAATATGTAATCTTGTTGGGATCCTTAATTTTTTCAGGAGAATATCACTTTACTCTCAGCTCAAAAGATTAGTTAAAACATGTGCTTCACTTTTAATAGGCAGTCCGTACTGCCAATTAAAGTTGCACTTGTTATTTCAAACCCACTGCCTCCCAGAATCTTTCAGAAGCTCAGCTGAAATACTATGTAGAATTGCCTGGAGGATGTCCAGCTTGTTTCCTTCTCTAAATGCTCTAAAGTAGGTTAACCTAGAGGAGCGAAAAGCTGTCAACGTATCTAGTCTAAATGGTATTCATTCCCTATAGGGTAGCTTTTACTGAATGGCTCTTTGTTTTGTGATGCCTGCCATCTGTACTAAGGAAGGAACAGTTAGAAACAGCCCTCTGAAACTGATATTTCTCTTGAATGGATGTTGTTGAAGACACTGTTAATTGCCTTTGCATTTTCTTCTTTATGAAATCTTTGAAGAAATTTCATTGTAATCTTGGTAATAATTCAGTAACAATAAATGATAATTATGTTTCTTTTGAGAAATTAATTTGCTATTTTCTTGCAGACACAATGATTTTATCTAACTGATCAAATTTTTTATTTCACATTGACCATTAGAAAACTTAAAGCTAAATTTATGACCTATCCATAGCAACTTTCTAGAATTCTATTTTATAATAGCCACCATGCTTGGCCCAATATTTTACCTATCTGTTACCATTGTTGTTCATATTTCCTTATAGTTCATTTCATCATCCTGTATTTTATTTATCTTTGTAAGCCATTTAACCACTTATGCCTTTTTTGAAACAAGGCCTAAGTAAATTTAAAATCAGTAAATACAAAGGACACCATCAAGAAAGTGAACAAACATTCCAAGAACAAGAAAAAATTTTTATAAATTGCCTGTCTGATAATGGACTGGAACTTGTATCTAAAATACACAAAGAATTCTTACAGTTTAATAATATAATACAATTTAAAAATGAATAAAGGATCTGAATAGGCATTTCTCCAAAGATGATATAGAAATGGCCAGTAAACACGTATAAATAGATGCTCAGTACCGTTAACCATCAAGGAAATGCAAATCAAAACCACAGTGAGATACCACTTCACACACACTAAAATGCTATAACAAAGAAAAAAAAGACAATAACAAGTGTTGGCGAGGCTGAGGAGAAATTGGAACTCTCATACGCTCCTGAGGAAAATGTAAAATGATGCAGCCACATTGGGAAACAGTGGGAGTACCTCAAAAGATTAAATATAGATTTATCATATGACCCAACAATTCCACTCCATTTTTACCTAAAGAGAAATGAAAACATACATCCACACCAAAATGTATACACGCACATTCATAGCATCTCTGTTTATAATAGCCAAAAACCCAATGTCTTCAATTAATAAATCCAGAAACAAAATATAATATATCCATATAATGGGATGAATATTGTTCAGCCATAAAAGGAATTATTGATAGATACTACAACATATCAATTATTGATAGATACTTGCAAACATTATGGTAAGTAAAAGAAGCCAGTCATAAAAGATTACGTATTGGTGGTTTCCTAGAAACAGAAAGTATATTGGTGGTTTCCTAGAGCTGAGGAGCTTAGGGAGAAAAGGAGTGACTGCTAATGGGTACAGGATTTCTTTATGGCCTAATGAAAGTGTTCTAAAATTGATTGAGGTGATGGTTGCACAACTCTGAGTATATGAAAACCATTGAATTGTATACTTTAAATGGGTAAATTATATCTCATTAAAACTGTTATAAAAAGTGCTAACAAAAAGTTTTAACAAAATATATCTTATAAATTAATAAAAGTAATTCATGCAAATCAGGTGTTTATATCAGGAGTACAAAAGAAATATTTTTGAGCCTTTATAGCATTTATTACTGTTAACATTTATTTTCCTTTAATTCTTACATTGGAATAAGATTCCTAGGGGAGAATAAAACAATAGTCATTCTACTAGCAATGTCTTATGTTGATACATGTTAGTGGTATATGTTACCCATGAATATATCAAAAACATAAACATTCTTATTTTAATATATGAAATTCTTCAGAGGTTAAGATGGTCATATATACCTTTCAGAAATTTGTGTTTTTTAATCTCTACAAATAAGTAGATTTTAAGAGCCTAGTAGGCTGATTAGATAGGATATATTCAATATTGAGTCCAAAGAGCAAAAGACCCTTTGGAAGACTAAAGAGAAAGAAAGTTGCTTCCCTCTCTCCCTCTTAGTGACAGTCTTTGACATTTATTTCAGCTCACGTTATTTTCACTGGAAAATGAACCTATGTGTAATTCTGCTGATCCTGGTTTTCATGGTGCCTTTTTACATTGGCTATTTTATTGTGAGCAACATCCGACTATGTAAGTATTTTGCCCTCTCAGTCAACACATAGATTGAGATGAGTATTTGAGGGGACTTAGATTGTGAATAGCTTCATTTCTACATTAACTTTCAGTAGCTACCGCTATTTGAGGACACCTCACACACAACATCTTAAAAATAAATATAAAATAAATATTGAATGAATTGGCACAAAGTAAATATTGAGTGAATGATTAGGTTATTTGTTCTGCCACAGCTTTATTTTTCTACCTATTAAGAATGTTTCATTTAATTCATCCCACATGTTAAATTCAGCTAAATTTCTCTTACGATGGTAAGGATGCTTTCACTAAAAATTATACTGTTCATCACTCATTTGCCAAGTGAATTAGCAGCCAAATATTAATTAGCATTATCTTATATTTTTAAATAGAGCAAGCTCTTTAACCTATATCTGTTTTTCCTAACAGTTTTGTCTCCTCTGTCTCAGTGCATAAACAACGACTGCTTTTTTCCTGTCTCTTATGGCTGACTTTTATGTATTTCTTCTGGAAACTAGGAGATCCCTTTCCCATTCTCAGCCCAAAACATGGTGAGTATATATGGGAGGGCAGAAGAAGGGAGGGAGAAGCTTTGTTTAATTTTCTGATTTCAAAAACATTTAATTAAATTTCTTGGGGAAAAATTTATTTGGGGAAATAATTCATTAATTCATAGGTTCTTGGGATTGGGAAAAAAAAATTTCTGATTTTGAGGAGGATAGCAAGCTATTTCTCTGAAAAATGTCTGATTTTGAACTACATTTTCTCCTTTCTTCTAAGAGAGAACTAATGCTGGTTTTGGAACTCACTTCTATCATTCTAAAGTAGGAATTTTTGACCTTCCTTTACTGAATATACTTACTTAAAGGGTATAAGGAAAGAGAACGGTGTCTAATTCATATTGTATATAGAACTACAGGAATATATTTGTATGTGTATTTGGAGGTAAGGTATCAATGAACTTTTATCTGATTTCCAAAGGGGTCTGTGACCCAAAAGGTAAATGGCCACTGTTTAAGGGATGATAAAGATACATTAGGGAAGCATACGTATTTGGGGAAAGGTGACATAAAACGCCCACAATTAGTAGGTAAAGAAAAGCTTTCCAAGAATCGGTGTCTCCCCTCTAACAAAAAAAGTTTATTTTAAAACGAGATTTGGCAGAGCCCTAATTTTTAAGTTAAAATCAATGAACAAACCTCAGCTAATAAGTCTTTCCAGAACTATTTCAGAAGTGTGTATGAATCTATCTTAAAAAGATTAGAGAGCCCATCTGTAATAAATATATTGCAGCTTTCATGCTAGAACCTTTTCAAAAATATATTTATACCTGTTCATTCACCATCCTGCCATATTATCAGGGTTCTTATTACAGAAAACAGAATCTACTGTAACTAATTTAAAGCAGAAAGTGATTAATTATACAGTGTCAGGCAATTTATAGACTTTCTAGGAAAGCAGGAATGCAAAGCTTAACTGCTATATGGTGAAGAGAAATACCCAACTATGCCACAATACTAAACTAGAAAACCTCGCTGAAGTCATCACATGCCACTCAGGGTCTATGACATCAGGGACCTCAGTCCCAGCTGTTTGAGCTCCTAAGTGCTATCACCACCCCTACATTGTTCATTTCTGCGTCTGAGGCCTCACATGGGCCTGGTTTTTTGGTGAAGCCTAGGTAACATTTAGAACCTTAGCCTCAAGGAAATCTGAGAAGGAGCGTTTGGCTTTCTAAACTCTGTAGTACCAAAACAAATGCTAGAAAAGGATATTGGAATTAATGTTGAATGAGCCAGTGTCTATTATGGAATCTGCCGTACCTCCCACACACCCTTCCATCTATACTCATTGCCTATAGCAGGAATTTCGGGAGAGAGAGGTTATGAAACTCTCCTGCAGTAAGGTCAGAGGAGATATGCAGTTTTGAAAAGCATATGCAGTACCAAATAAATAGTTGTGTATTTTTAAAATAAGAATAACTGTTTCAAGATTTCAAATAATGTTAAAGGCCAGAAAACTTAACATAACACCAGCCTACCAAAAACATTCAAACTCTTAGGTGGCGTATGAGACTTTTCATGGCCTGGCTACTGCTCTCTATACATGTTGCATTCTCCAGTCCTATGAAGTTATTTCAAGTTTATTTATTTATTTTCTTTTTGAGACAGGTCTCACTCTTATTCAGGCTGGAGTGCAGTGGCATGATCTTGGCTCACTGTAACCTCTGTCTCCCAGGCTCAAGTGATCCTCCCACCTCAGCCTCCTGAGTAACGGGGACTACAGGCGAATGCCACCACACCCGGCTAAGTTTTGTGTTTTTTCGTAGAGATGGGGTTTCTCCACGTTGCTCAGGATGGTCTTGAACTCCTGAGCTCAGGGGATCAACCCACTGTGGCCTCCCAAAGTGCTCACAAGTGTGAGCCACCACACCCAGCCTCAAGTTTCTAGAGCTGTTCTACCAGCCTGGACAATCCTTCACCAACCCTGTCTACCTAGAAAATGCCTATCTATCCTTTCTAGATTCAACTCTTGTCAATTCCTTTAGGAAGATTTTCCTGGCCAGCATTAAGAGATATTAATTGCTCCCAACTCAAGGTATCTGTATCATCTATAAAACTTACAATTTCATGTTTCCTTTTCCAACTTCCTCATCAACCTGTGGGCTCTCTGAGATCAGAAAACTACATGTTATTTGTCTTTGTATCCCTAGTGCCTAGTGTGGAACTTAACACATAACGAGTGTTTTTTATTTTTTATTTTTTATTTTTTTGAGATGGAGTCTCGCTCTGTCGCCCAGGCTGGAGTGTAGTGGCCGGATCTCAGCTCACTGCAAGCTCCGCCTCCTGGGTTTACGCCATTCTCCTGCCTCAGCCTCCCGAGTAGCTGGGACTACAGGCGCCCGCCACCTCGCCCGGCTAGTTTTTTGTATTTTTTTTTTTTTAGTAGAGACGGGGTTTCACTGTGTTAGCCAGGATGGTTTCGATCTCCTGACCTCGTGATCCGCCTGTCTCGGCCTCCCAAAGTGCTAGGATTACAGGCTTGAGCAACGAGTGTTTTAATACATGTTCTTTGAATCAGTGAATGGAAGAAAATTGAGTCTCTCCAATGTGGTAAATGAGTTTACTACTTTAACACTCTGGATAGGAATTTAGGAAATGCTAATGTGATCAGCATGCCTATGTCAATGGTCAACGAAAAGAAAGACTTGCACTAAAGAGTCCTGGTAGTATAGTTCTCATATAAACCTGTTTCAAAGAAACCCACAGACAGACACATTTATCTGTGATGGTAGAAGTCAGAGAGAAGAGTTACAAAAGGCCCCCAGGGCTGCTGACAGGGCAAACACAGGCTCACATGCAATACAAAGACCTGACTCTGACACCTTTCTCCAGCTTTCTCCTGTGTGCATTCAGCTCACATGACCAGTGCAGCCAGGACACACCAAAGGGAAGATGAAGGCCATTGTATCTATTGTCCTTTCATCCACCCCTTTAGAGAAAGCTAGGGAGACAGTTTCAGCTTTCTTCTTTCCATCGTACTCCAATAGGCATTACAGTTTTATGACTGAATATTCAGGTATCTTAATTTATTTAACCCTCTAAGATAAGTAAGGAGGAAGAAAAGTTTGGATGGTAGCCAAGAAGCAACCAGCCTTACACTACCTTCCTAGAGCTTTCCCAGGACTGTCCCAACAACCACTGTAGTTGTTTATTGCTGTGGAGACCACCCAAAAAATGGGCTGGGCAGGTTGGCTCACCCCTATAATCCCAGCACTTTAGGAGGCCAAAGCAGGGAGATCACTTGAGGTCAGGAGTTAGAGACCAGCCTGGCCAACATGGCAAAACCCCATCCCTACTAAAAATACAAAAATTAGCCAGGCATGGTGACGCATGCCTGTAATCCCAGCTACTCCCCGGAGGCTGGAGACACAAGACTTGCTTGAACCCAGGAGGCTGAGGTTGCAGTGAGCTGAGATCATGTCACTGCCCTGCAGACTGGGCAACAGAACGCGACTCAAAAAAATAATCCATAAAAGTACTTCTTGTGTGGTGCCTGAACCTTGGAATGTCTTTAGTGGGAAAGAGTCAGAGAGATTACAAAAGACTGTAAGGAATCTGTGTGAGCAGGTGGCAAAGGTAAAATGGTCTTCTGCTAGTGTCCTTATTCATCTGACTTTCCATGTATTAACTGGTAAATGGGGATAATGATGACTGACTCCTATTTCATAGAAATGCTGAGATTAAGTAAATAGTATCTACAAAGTACTTTAAATCATAAAAAGATGTAATAAAAGGACAAAGACACCATGTTAAAAGGAATAAAGGTAAAGGGGGGAATTTTTTCATTTTTTCTTATTTAATAACCCATATTAATCCCTTGGATTTTTTTATGTTATTGAGTGATGTTATAGTCAACAAACATTTGTTGAACACCTTCTATGTGCCAGGCAGTAAGGAAAACAAAGATCAATAAGACATGATGTCTTCTTGTAAAGGGGCTGCAAATTCAAGAGGTATATAGCAAGTAGAATCAACAGAATTTAGGTGAGGATTTCTTTGTTCATTTAGCATTACACAAATATTTATTGAGCATCTACTTTATATAAATTAAGCATTGGAAATAAACCACAAACAAAACAAACTTGGTTTCTGCCCCCCTGAAATTTACAGTCTTGTGGGTGAAACTAGACAGTAAAGAGGTAAATATATAAATAAATGATTGCCAATTGTGATCATTGTCATCAAGGAGCGAACAGGTTGCTGTGATAGAGAAAAATGCAGATAATGTAGTATAAGTAGTTAGATCCACCCTTTCTGAGACAGTGATATTTAAGCTGAGATTTAAAGGACAAGACCAAAGGAAGACCCACCAAGAACGCACAAGAGACATCACATAAAGCCCTGAGGCAGAAAGACCTTGGTATATTCAAAGAAAGGCGAGAGATAGAATGGAGAGTAATCGTATAGTGTATAGATTTTATTATTATGGTGATTATGTCATTTTCTAAGACAGATAATGCAGAAGAAGAAACAAGTTGAGGGGAAAGATAATTTTAGTTCGGTATATGCTGAATTTGAGTTACCCATGCATATTCAGGTGGTGTTAAATAAGCAATTGGATGTACAAATCAGGAGCTTAGGGAAAAAGTATACATGTATCAGTCCTCATAGAGATGGCTCCAGGAATCTAAACAACTAGAAATCATCAACTAAATGCCATTAGGTGAAGCTGGGGAAGTTGGTGAGATCACCCAACCAAAAAATGTGTATACTGAAATGAAAGAGAGAATTCTGGTCCATACAGAGCAAGAAGTGACTGAGAAAAAGCAATTAGAACAGTGAAAGGGTAATCCTTGAGAAATGATGTTGTGGAAGCCAAGAAGATAAAATAATTTTAAACAAAAATGATTCAGTGTCATAAAAGAGCCAATAAAACAAGGATTGGAAAATGTTGAATTTTGCAACCAGGAGAAAACTTATTACCAAAGTGTTGTAGTGGTTAAAGCCCAGACTTTGGAGCTAGACTGCACTTGAAACTTGACTCTGCCCCTTTTATCTGTGTGGCCTTGACTAAGTTACGTAACCTCTTTGTGCCTCCATTTCTTCATCTGTAAAATTAGGTTTTCAATAATATCTACCTCGTAGGATTGTTATGAGGGTTAAATGAATTAGAACACGTGAAGTGCTTAGAACAGTGCCTAGTCATAGCATGTACTTGATGCATATTACCTATTATATTGCCATTACAATTATTAGTGAAAGTGATTTCATTCAATGTAGAAGAATGGGAAGAAAGCTGGATTGCAGTCAGTTGAGGAATGAACTGGAGGTGAAGAAAAGGTGACAATAACTATAAACTTCTCTTAAGAAGCCTGGCTATTAAGGAAGAAATAGATGGCGATTGGTAACTAGAGGTAAACTCAAAGCCAAGAACAGAATTTCTCTTAGAAAAGAGACTTGAAACTAAAGAGAAAGAACTAGCAAAGAAGGAAATATTGAATATACAAGAGAGAGGAGATAGATGATGGAACAAGACTCTGAAAGAGGTGGAAGGGATTGAATACAATCAAAAGTATGGTGACTTCTAGTTCCAAGATGGTGGCATAGGGGCAAGCTGGCTTCACTTACCCCCATGACAGAAAACCAAAAACAAATAGCACCAAGATTGTCACCAGCAATATCCCAGAACTCACATAAAAGGATGAGACAGTTCCCAGGGCCCAGAGAAAATCAGAAGCACAAGTGGAGAAGTCAACTTTGGATGCTACTTTGTTCTGAAGGAGACAAGCTGGGAGGATGATTGCAGATGTATATTCAATGTTATAAAAGAGCCAATAAAACAAGAATTGGAAAATGTTGAATTTGGCAACCAGGAGAAAATTTATGACCATAGTGTAGAGTTAAGGTAGTTTGTAGTAGAGTGAAGGTAGTTTATGTCTAATAGCTTACGTCTTTTATAATAAGGACATTGGCAAAGGAGAAGGACAAAGGTAGGAAAAATAAAGAGTAACTGACAAAGACAATGGAGAGAGATGGCTGACCAAGGGCAAGATAAGGATTAGTCAGTAGTGTGAGAGCTCTCTTAGGACCGGAGACCATACATTTGTAATGACTCCAAAATCAGTATGCATTCTAGCAATTTTAGGCAGCAAAACATGGGCACAGGGAAGGCAGAGTGTTAGACTGATCCAGAGTTGGGAATTTGTAGGATTAGCACTTCAGAAGGAAGATTGTAGGAGATTGAGGCTCCTGGTGAGAGAATTTGAAGCCAGCAAGCCTGGAGTCCAAGCTAGGTGAAGAATGGAGAAGCAGTGCACTGACCTCTAAAACGAGTGTAGTGGAAATAAAGGAGAATGAGAACTTGAAGACTAGGAAGGGAGGCCAGTAGTCAGAAAAGAATATTGGAATTTTCGGTTTTGAAGCTGACAGAATTCCTGAATTACAGCTCTGGCATTTGACCATAGGAGTGGATGGCTGAAGTGAATTCTATCCTAGAAATAAAAGTGAAAACCAACTAAAACCATTCTTTTTCTGCAATGCCAAACTTACTGAGTTATTCTTCAGCATTGCTTTCTCTCATTTATCCCAAATACATCAACCAGCAGTATTTATTTTCACTGCTAAGTTGATTTTCAGCATTCTCAAGTGATGTGAAACAATTGATAATTAGGATACAATTTATAATCTAACAATGATGTGTTTGCCTTTGAATTATTCATCTATAAGTGTAGCTCATTTATTAGATGAATTCTGTGTTTATTGGATGCAAAAAAGAATAAGACAAAAGCAAAAGAGTATCACCTTAGGGGAAATACATATATATCAAAGATAACTAGCACCAAGTATTTCCTGCTATTTATACTTCTCCAGCAGATTTACTTTTCTAGTTTTTTTTGCCGATGCTTTTACTAAAAGTACTTTGCTTTGTTAGCATTCATGCTACCAAGAGTAAACAGTCAATGATTGTTCTTTATAATTATTGTTGTTATTATTTTACTGTTATCACCCAATAAAAGAGATCACTCTGAAGCATATGGGACAAGAGGAAAATCAGTAAACTTTAGTATATTTATTATACTCTATTATCTATATTTATATACTATATATATTATACTCTATATACTATATTTAGTATATTATACTCTTTATTATCATCTACACATTAATAATTAAAAGTTGGCTTGTATGAGTTAGTTATGTGTAATGGTTAATGTTTTCAGTAATGTTTCCTTTTGCAGTACAGATGAGAGCCATTTTATCTGTGTTACCTGGCGTTAATGTGCCTTGATGTTTTCAGGGATCTTATCCATAGAACAGCTCATCAGCCGGGTTGGTGTGATTGGAGTGACTCTCATGGCCCTCCTTTCTGGATTTGGTGCTGTCAACTGCCCATACACTTACATGTCTTACTTCCTCAGGTAACAGAGCGCTTTCCATCCTTTCTTTTTTGCCCCATTACTTCTTGAATACATATGTCATATTATGCCACCATCTTTAAGATTATATATTAGATCTATGACACTGCCTTTTTATTTTTCTCTTTCTCTGTCCCTATGGGCATTGACCTGGAAATCTTTCTAAATAAGTCTTATCACTTGTACTGCTTGCCTTTGCTATTTGTCCTACATTCATTTATATTTTAAATGGCAAATTTCAATGTGACACTCCCCTCCCACTTTTTAAAGGCACATTTCTAGTGACCAGCAGTATAAACCAACCCCAACTTCAGCAGTTTAGTTCCTCCTAGAAGTATTAATAGAACAGTAGAAGACAATGCCAAGTTAAAAGTGTGCTTAAACATACATCCTAAATGTCACTGAGCTGAGATCACGCCACTGCACTCCAGCCTTTGTGACAGAGCAAGACTCTTTCATAAATAAATGACGAGTTGATGGGTGCAGCAAACCACCATGGCACGTGTATACCTATGTAACAAACCTGCACGTTTTACACATGTATCCCAGAACTTAAAGTATAATAAAAAATAAAATAAAAATATTTAAATATATATATATAAAAATGTCACTGGATCAAAGCTAAGAAAAACTGTAAGAGAGCTGGGTAAATTCCATTTCCCTGAGATGCCAGAGGATTAGCTGTAAGAAATGAGAGCAAAAGCATTTTAGTTTATTAATTATGGTTATTTTACTATTTTCTAGAAAAAAGTAGTGGGTAAAGTTAAAGTCTGTGTATCTCTCCAGATACAGTATCATGCCCAAGAGTAGGATCCCAAAACATTTCGCTAGCAGTTTGTGCTTTTTGTAGGAACGTGACTGACACAGATATTCTAGCCCTGGAACGGCGACTGCTCCAAACCATGGATATGATCATAAGCAAAAAGAAAAGGTAAGATATCAACACTGTAAAACATCTGGACTCTGTTACAATTTCTCAACAAGAAAATTTGACTATGAATTGGTGCTGGCAGGGAATTTTATCTTATTCATTTTTATTATAAGGTAAAGTACTATCAAAGATTTAGTGTTGGCTGGACACAGTGGCTCACACCTGTGATCGCAGCACTTTGGGAGGCCAAGACGGGAGGATCACTTGAGCCCAGAAGTTCAAGATTAGCCTGGGTAACATAGTGAGACCCCATCCCTTTAAAATAACAATAATAATAAAATTAAAAATATAAAAAAGTTTTTTAAAAAGATTTAGTGTTTTGTGTGAAAGAAAATTCTCAAATTCAATCTCATTTCTTGAATTTAGATCATTCTTCTTAGATAAATTAGAATTTTTTAAATTTTTTAAATTGTAAATTGACAAATTATAGTTGTGTATATTTGTGGCATACAAAGTGGAATAATTAAATCAAGCTAATTAACATATCCGCTCACATGCTTATTTTTTTGTGGTGAAAACATTTGAAATTTACTCTTATTGATTTTGAAATGTACAATACATTATTATTTATTATATTCATCATGCTGTACAGTATGTCGCAAAGAAAAAAACCCTTATTCCTCCTGTCTAACTGAAACTTTGTACCCTTTGGCCATCGTCTCTCTATTCCTCCCACCCATCCAGCCTCTGGTAACCATCATTCTACCCTCTGCTTCTGTTGAGTTCATTGTTTTAGATTCCACATATAAGTGAGAACATGCAGTATTTGTCTTTCTGTGTCCAACTCATTTTGCTTAGCATGGTGTTCTCCACTAACAAATGAAAGAATTTCCTTCCTTAAGGCTGAATACTATTCTGTTGTCTATATATGCCATATTTTCTTTATCCATTTTTCTGTTGATGGACATATAGATTGATACCATAACTTGGCTATTGTAAATAATACTGCAGTGAACATGGGTGTACGTATGTCTCTTTGACATTTTACTAATTTCATATCTTTTGGGTAAATACTCAGAAGTGGGATTGCTGGATCATATAGCAATTCCATTTTCAGTTTTTGTAGGAACCTCCACAATGTTTTCCATAGTGGTTGTGCTAATTTACATTTCCACCAACAATGTAGTAAGGGTTCCCTTTTCTCAGTGTCCACACCAGCATTCTTTATCTTTTGCCCCTTTGATAATAGTCATTCTGACAGGTACGAGGTGATATCTCATTGTGTCTTAGTTTGCAGTTCCTTAATGGCTAGTATGTTAAACATTATTTGATATATCTGTTGGTCATGTGTATGCCTTCTTTTGAGAAATGTCTATTCAGGTTCCTTGCCCATTTAAAAATCAGGTTATTTGTTTTCTTTCTATAGAGTTGTTTGAGGTCCTTACGTATTTTGTATACCAACCCCTTATCAGACATATGGCTTGCAGATATTTTCTTCCAGTCCGTAGGTTGTGTCTTCACTCTGCTAATTATTTTCTTTGTTGCGCAGAAGCTTTTTATTTTGATGTAATCCCGTTTGTCTATTTTTGCTTTAATTGCCTGCACTTTGGGGATTAAATCTAAAAAGTTATTGTTCAGAGCAATTTGTGTAGTTTTTCCCCTATTTTCTTCTGGTAGTTTTACAGTTTCCCGGCTTAAGTGTTTAGTCCATTTTGAGTTAATTTTTATATATTGAGTGAGATAAGGGTCCAATTTCATTCTTCTGCAGATGGATATTCCGTTTTCCCAACACCGTTTAGTGAAAAGACTATCCTTTTCCCAGTGTGTACATGTGGCACCCTTGTCAAAAATCAATTGACCATACATGTGTGGGTTTATTTCTGGGTTCTCTATTCTGTTCCCTTGGTCAATGAGTCTGTGCTTATGCTCGTATCATGCTGTTTTAATTACTATTGCTTTGTAGTGTAATTTGAAATAAGGTAGTATGATGCCTCCAGCTTTGTTCTTTTGTTCATGATTGCCTTGGCAATTCGGTTTTTTCTGGTTCCATATGCATTTTAGGATTATTTTTTCTATTTCTATGAAAAGTGACATTGGAATTTTGATAGAGAGGGATTACATTAAATCTACAGATTGCTTTAGATAATATGGACGTTTTAACAATACTGATGTTCAATGAACATTCCAAAAATGAACCATCCCACTTAAAATAGTTACAAGAAAAAATACTTAGGAATAAATTTAACCAAGGAGGAAGAAAGACCTGGACACTGAAAACTATACAACATTAATAGAAGAAATTGTAGAAGACACAAATAATGGAAAGATAGTCCATGCTCATGGACTGGTATGTAACTTTTGTATTCGAAGAATGGAATATTGTCTATTGTCCTGAATTTTTTTTTTTTTTAAGACAGAGTCTCGCTCTGTTGCCCAGGCTGGAGTGCAGTGATGTGATTTCAGCTCACTGCAGCCTCCACCTCCCAGGTTCAAGCAGTTCTCCTGCCTCAGCCTCCCGAGTAGCTGGGATTATAGGTGTGCCACCATACTTAGCTAATTTTTGCATTTTTAGTAGAGACGGAGTTTCACCATGTTGGACCAGGCTGATCTCAAACTCTTGACCTCAAGTGATCCGCCCGCCTTATCCTCCCAAAGTGCTGGGGTTACAGGCATGAGCCACCACGCCCAGCCTTATTGCCCTGAATTTTTTCTACCTGGGAGGCTGAGGCAGGAGAATTGCTTGAAACTGGGAGGCAGAGGTTGCAGTGAGCCAAGATTGCACCACTGCACTGCAGCCTGGGGGACAGAACGAGACTCTGTCTAAAAAAAAAAGTGAAGTTATGACTCATGTCAAGTGTGGATGTATACTTTTAAGCCATTTCATACTAATACTGCTAAGGAATTGACTCTGATCTGTACATACTATAGCCCATTTCCCCTATAATGCATTGTCTGGTCAGGATCAGGAATGGTTTGTGGTCCGACAGTAGGTTTTATTAATTTGAGTGGCTCACAGAAGAATCAGCCTCCCAACATGACCCCATTAGCACAGTCCTTTAGCCAGTGGAACTTACAGGGCAGATAGACAGCTAACGTGACAACACTGGGGCCCTTAGGATTCATACAGTGCCCTTGCCATTTACCACAATATAGAAAAACTATTTTTGTTGTTTGCAAGTGGTTTTACAAAATAAAAATTTTTTTATTAAAAAAGAAACACTGTTTTTGCAAACAGTCATAGTTGGGGAGCAGTAGTGACCAGAAAACCATCTTTTACCTTAACAGTAGAGGGCCATAGTGAGATGACATACAAGAAAAGTAACATTTGTTATGTACAAAAAAGTTAATGGTTTAAAGTGGGAGAAGGAAAGAGGCATATGTCTTCCCGTTTGGAACAGTGGAGGAAAAAATGTTAACCTCTACCTTGAATTAGTTTTTTTAGGATCTCTTTGAAATTTTGTAGGGATTGGGGAAGAAACATACTCGCTAGTGAAATTTCAGCACCAGCCACAGCCACTCTCAAATGATAATAGAGGAAACTTCCGGAAATGACAGTGGAAAGAATTTAAGCCATTCCTTCTACAGAAAATCATAAATACTGGAAAAAATGTTAAAAGCAAGTATTTGAAGTCACTGGAAAATGAACAGAGGCAGGTAGAAATTTGAGAAGAGCATCAGGTAACTATTGCAAGTTTATGGCTTTCTTGCCTGGAAGTGCTCCTCAGCCACCACCCACCCTCCCAGTACCCACCCACCCTCCCAGCACCCACTCAAGCGTGCAGATTGATAAGAGTTTAAATCAGCTGAGTAACTGAAAATTTAAAGGGGAAGTTTTGGAAATGAGGGAAATGCAGAAGGACTAAGATCCAAAATCTCAGTATAAACCCTTCCCAAATCCCTGTGTCATCATTAAATAATGTATTTCCACGGTAAACACCAAAGAGCCTGAGGGAAAATAGGCAGAAACTGGAAGAGAGTCTACCCTTGGTATACTGAACTTCTTAGTGTGATTTGCAAGGTTGCTGTGCCTTTGATTGAGTGCATTTTCTGAGCTATGTGCAGGTTGAACACACAGCTTGGATGACAGAAAGTGAAAGCCTTACTGGCTTGAGGTGTCAGAGGGTAGAATTCAGGACTGGCAAAGCAATTGAAAATTTAGGAGAGATCCCTAGAAGCAAAAGATCCACAGAGAGGATGAGCCCTAAAATATGACTATAGAATCTGTCCAGACTACCACTACCCTACACAAGCTCAAGCTCAGTGGAGACTATCAGGGAGATAGGCTAAAAAAGGAGAAGCTAGAAACCAGGAAACTGAGCAGAAACATTAGCTGCTGCAGGTATGACAGATTTCACAGTTTGAGTCTAAGTAAATTAACTGCTTACTAGTACCAAAAAATTAACAGTTCTCGGAAAAACAAAACAGATTCCAAAGTCACTACAACATATTACCTTCAACTAAAACTTGCTAGACATGTAAAGAAACAAGACTGTATAACCAATGTTCAAGATAAAAAGCAGCCAATAGACACTAACTCCAAGTGGATCCAGATTATAGATTTAACAAAGACTTGAAAGTAACCATTACAAATATATTCAAAAAAGTGAAGGAAAGCATGATACAAGTGAAAAGAGAGAATCCCAACAGAGAAATGGAAACTTTTAAAAAACAACAAAATAGAAATCCAAAGACTGAGAACTACAGTAACTGAAATAAAAATTTTACTAGGCGGGCTTAACAGGAGAATTGAGATGACAGAAGAATCAGATCAATAAAAATTCAGACTGGGCATGGTGGCTCATACCTGTAATCCCAGCACTTTGGGAGGCCGAGGTGGGTGGATCATCTGAGATTAGGAGTTCGAGACCAGCCTGGCCAACATAGTGAAATGCTGTCTCTACCAAAAATACAAAAATTAGCTGGGCATGGTGGCACGTGCCTGTAGTCACAGCTACTTGGGAAACTGAGGCAGGAGAATCTCTTGAACCCAGGAGGCAGAGGTTGTAGTAAGCCAAGATCAAGCCACTGCACTCCAGCTTGGGCGACAGAGCGAGACTCTG